TGTTGTAAATACAACTTAACCACTGATTTCTAGTTGTGTCCTCTTTTGGAAGGCCAAACGAAGTAGTTTCACATTCAAAACGAAATCACAGCATCACACACGGCGGGCTAGAGTGAGAGGAGGCCGGCGGCTAGATTGAGCGGAGGCCGGCGGGCTTGAGAACAGCGCGGCCGGCGGATTCTGCGAAGGAGCAGCCGGCGGGCTTGCGGCAACCGCATGTGACGACTCCACTTCGTCCACTGTGAAAGCCGATCCAACGATCCACAGCGCGAAGTTGATGTATTTCCTCAGCAACCAGCACGGATCAGCTCTAGGCATGACGAAGTTGTTTATAGTGATATATTTGCTGAAGGCTAACAAGAACTTGTCATTAAAGGGGTGCTGTTAGGCACAACACGTATGAGTTTAGTATTAATGTCAGAACTTGCTGTGTTAATAATACAGAGTTCAGCTGATGTGAAGTCACCGGTGTGCATGTATATATATATATATATATATATACTGGTATGTATGTACTACAGTATGTGACCTTGACCAAATTCAATTTGCATTCAATCTTGGAACGTCTGGCCTGCTCACTGTCTAGACTTTCACTGCTGCAGACCACCTTAGGGCAGCTATATCTCAACAATGTCTTGCATCAATCCAAGATAGGCCATCTTAATCAAAAGTTCAGATTTATTCTCTTCCACATTTGGACACACTGTGATCCATCTTGTCTGTGCTAGAGTGCTCTTCCAGTTTCTTGTTAGAGGGAAATTTGAACTGCAGGACACTGTTTGACTCGCTTTTCTCAGCGACAGCTTTTTTCTTACATTGTCTCTTTGTCAGTGCAGTCATACAATATGATATCCGTCACCTACTATTTTCTCCCAAGGGAAAAGAAGAAATCCTTTTCCTTCACGCGAAAGACCTTGAACGTGAGCTCTGATTCTGTTCCGCCGTTGGTTGTCTGCTCTTTCAGGAGAAACGGATGGGCAGAATGGGGCTTCCTACAATCTCTATTAGGTGCGATACGATGCGCACAGGCCAGTGATTGCATTTCAGTGCTGAAACGTAAGCCGAAACATTCTCTGTCTCTCCCTCCCTACTGTTTCCTGCTAAGTTTGACAACAGACGAGGAGGTAGATTGCAATGTGATTTGCTGGAAGCGTTCAAGGTTAGTGTTCAAAGAAATAGTGAAGGTTTATTTGTGAGTGGCCCTACGTACACACATAAAACAGGAGAGACTCTGCGTACGCGGCTTACTGTCAATTACTATGCAACGGGAGGGGACTCGCTCGACAGCTCTGCAGCCTTTTGAATGTGAGGCACAAGCAGGATGGAATTTATGGTCGAGACCCTGGTTGTTGCTTAAAGTACTCAATCCCTCAGATCGTGACTAAGCCACCACACCTTAAATCAAGTTTGTGAATTGATTGGATTTCAGTAACACATACACTCCATTCTGCTCCGCAGTCTAATTTCTCACTGACCATTGAACAGGCGCTTTATAAATGAAGTGCCACTGCAGGTTTCAGAAACATCTTATTTCCCGGCTGTCTTCGCACGCTGTCGGGGGACCGTCTGTGACACTGATGAAAGGTGCACGCAAATGTTCACGTTTTACAGTGCCTTCACTTGAAGCAAAATGTGAATCATATGCTGAGCAGTTTGCGGTGAGTTATTCGATGCTCATATTTCATTCAGTATGCATGTACATGCAATAGTGACATTGTAGTGCAGGTAAAACAAAGTATGCTTCGCTAAGCACGAAAAATGTAGAGCACATCCAGCTCTCCTGGGCTTATTTTATTCATTCTGCTGCACTCAGTACTGCTTGTGAATGTCAACAATGCTTAGGTGTGACAGCTACTCTTTTTCTCTTTGAATGTCCATCCGTAATGAATGGGAGTGGGTATCCATGTGAATATCGTGGCCGGTGGCTTCAGCACTGGAGTGGAGGAACAACTTGTATTTGTTAACTGAGTAATATGGTGTCAGCTGGCATGACTAATAAATCTATTTAAAGTTTCATGGAAGAGGCTGCACTCTCTGATTAACATGGGTCACATTATGCAAGTCAATTAATTTTCTTGTAAATTACATGAGTGTCATTAATCTGTGGATTTCCGTTTGATTTCTTCTTTTGAAGATCACTAAGTCGAAGCCGCATGTGTCAGTCACTAACGTATGGGTAACATATGGAGAGTTGATGCATAAGCTTTTTCTGTTCCTTTCACAAGGTGCTTGATAGTAAATGTGTAGCCAATTAAATGGAGAACCAAATAAATATTGGATCATTTATAATTATTATAAATATGGAATAATAAATAAAGAAGATATGTAAAAATATTAAATATTTTGCCTATATAGGGTAAAAAATTAAGATCTCACAAAATGTTAAGATCCATTCTTTTGCATTAAGACATGGTCGTGAGGTCATAAGAACTGCTTTGAAATTCAAACAACACAGAGCAGTGATGAAAAACATGCCGGCTTTTCATTGTAACAGCTGGAACTAGCATTGATTGCTGAATTCAAAGTCCCTCCAACCATAGGATGTCAGATCACCACAGTAACCAGAGATGGGCAGCAGAGTAAATGCAGTACAAGCTAAAGAGTGTGCGCATGTGTGCAGGATGGAGCCGGGGAGTTAAACTGTTAGCAGATTGTCCCAGCTGTGCTGTTCAAACAGGCTTTGAGGAGAAAAGGCTTTAAAGTGGCCCCTGCTGTGTGGTCCACTTCATTATTGATCCCTGCCTCACTGTCTTCTAAAATACCCCCCAGAGCCCCAGACAGAGCCTGAAACACAAAGACATGCCATGCCGTCCCTCTTCGTTTCGACTGGCATCTGTAGTTGTGTGCCGGAATGACATGATTGTTTTTCAATGATGAAATGAAAAATGTCATCATTTGCTCACCCTCATGTCTTTCCGAACCTGTATGACTGACCTAAAGTTGTTTTTCACAAGAAAACCTTGACTTGGTTGGATCAAATCATTCTTTTGAGTCAGATCTTTTTGGTGAATTAGTTGATTCATCTCACAAAACAGCTCTGAATGATTCATTCACAAATGGACTACGCTACTTCTCTCATTATGTTGTGGATGTCAGGATTTTCTTTGAAAATCTGAAATTTAGATCTAGAATACAGGTGCATCTCAATAAATTAGAATGTCGTGGAAAAGTTCAGAGGGACTACTTTTATGGTGCTTTCGTGTCTGTTTTGAAGCTTCGTCAGGAAAGTCGTCTTTTGTGTTTCATTCTTTATAAGTCATGCAGTTTTGGAATGACATGAGGTTGAGTAGATAATGGCAAATTTATCACTTTAAGGACCCCTTTATTTCTCTAGCACTGCTATTTAGGTTTAACTTTGACTAATATACTTGCATTTTACGTATCTCTTTCTTACTCTCACTCTCTCTTTCTCTTTTTCTAGAGTCTGGATGGTAACGTGATCGTGCGCAGTGATGCCCGTGTGTCCTCTCTGACTCTGAAATACGTGCAGTTCACCGATGCCGGCCAGTACCTCTGCACTGCCCGCAACTCCATTGGTCAGGACATCCAGAGCATGTACCTGGAAGTGCGCTGTAAGCTAAACAACAAACTTCTCTCTTTGTCCTTTGTAGCTTATTTGTCTGGTTGTGTTCAGGTTGTGTCTAAGCTCAATGTAGTGGACAGATTGTGATTTCTCAATGTTCCATTTGTCGGCTACCGGATAACACCAATAAATGGATGCCAGACCCAAAAGTAACTAACTAACTAACTTAATCATCAAGACTTTCTTGTTTGCCAGAAACTAAAGCAGCTCATTTTTGCAAGTGAACAGTAGATCCACCAGCTAAACCCTTGGACTTGCATGAACCAGCCTAGACCAGCAAATTTTTTTTTTTTCAGCAGAGTATTGACAGATGTTATTCATTTCATTTTTTTTTTTTTTTTTTGGGGAAATAAACAGTATTATTTTTTCTTTTTCTTTTTTTTTCCTCTTTTTTGGAGTATATAACAAAAGATTCGATTTAACAACAGAAATTATTTTTGAAGGAATTGGTGGTTTGAGGGCTTTTTTTAAATGTCTGTTTCAAACAGATTAAACTTGCTTTCCACCAAAAACTCAGTTCAAATCACAGTGCCATATACTCAAATGTGTTTTATAGCTTTTGGGCTTATTTCTTACATTCAGAGCTCTTCATATGAAATGAAATACTGCCATCTTCACATTCTTAAAACTCCATTTTGAGAGCAAACGCTTATTTTATCAGATTATGTTTACTGTAGTTGGCTGTGTGCACTTTTGTGCCATTTGCCAGGTAGAGAATTACAGTAAAGGTAGCTTTAAAGTAGGGCTGCACTATTAATCGCATGCGATATTTAACGCGCATTTTGTCAGTAAAGACGGTTCTGTAATCAGCGGTAAATCTCCATCACCTGCGGGCTGTCACATTGAGCAGCATTAACTACACAGAGCCGTTGTTCACTGACGAGTTGCGCAAAACCACGTTCATATTCGCGCGATTTTTTGCGCAGCTCATCAGTGAACAACGGCTCTGTGTAGTTAATGCTGCTCAATGTGAAAGCACGCAGGTGATGGAGATTTACCGCTGATTACAGAACTGGCTTTCTGACAAGATGCGCGTTAAATACCGCATGCGATTAATCGTGCAGCCCTACTTTAAAGTTATTTTCATCTGCTTGCGCATTTTTATGCATTCTCACAATATAATTTAGAAAAGTGGGAGGGAGTGAAGCTTGAAGTGCAATGAAAGTCTAATTGGATTAAAATTGGATTAAAAAAAAAATCTTCTCCCTTTCCTGAGATAGCATCACAATGTGCAATTGATAGAAATTGTGTGGAAATGCAGTTTGCCACAGCCCGGCTTATAGTAATCAGCGTCTTGGTTGAGCGCACGGAGCGTTTTGCAGTAATTAGTGATAAGAAAAGGTGCTTTGTCTGCTTCAAATGATCCTAGATGAGATTGTTCACTCCCATGCTCAAGACACTTACGGTCTGGGTTAGAGTCTCTCCTTCTGTTTTGCATGACTGTACATTTCTTTTATTTCCCACCTTTTACTTACTTAAGTTTACATTTAAATGCATTTTTTCTTTCGCTTGGTTGTTTATGTGTTGTATTATTGAAATGGAGCTCAGCTTCATAGTAAAACTGAAGTCTCAGTTGGAAAGACTAGTTATTATAGCCATTTGAAATCAGTAAGTATCTTTATGCAAAGTTTTGCTGTTTACTTACATCAACATAGTAAGAACGTGCTCTCCTGAAATCACACATGAAATCATGAATCATTTCATGCCTTAAATTTGCCAATATTCATTTCAACCACTGCTGTGATAAGATTTCATTGGCCATTTCATCCAAAAAGAGACATGATGTTTTGGGGTGCTGACATTATCTCAGCAGCGGTGTTGCAGCCTGTGGTCCTGAGATAGCGATAAGATTTGAGTGGATATGTGTCTTATCAGAACAGCTTCATGGGAAATGTGATGACTCAACTGTTTGGATCAATCCTGGAGTGGAAAATCTTGTTAGCCGAAGTGAACATCAGGGGGGAACAATCACAACAGACAATATCAGATATCAGAAATTGCAATTCTGTAAGGTAGTTTAGGGGATGATGGGTAATGTATGCCAGCTGGAAGCCATCATATTTTTGGCCCCAAGGTCTCTCTCTGGAACAGTCCATGTGTTGGTTGCACTTGGCTGACACTGTGTATAATTACAGATGCTCCAAAGATCCAAGGCCCTGCGGCGGTGTTCACCTGGGATGGGAATCCGGCTAACATCACCTGCGAGGCCCTCGCTCACCCGGCCGCCTCCGTTTTGTGGCTCCGTGATGGCTTGCTGCTGCCTAGCGCTAATACCACCAACGTCAAGATCTACAACACTCCTTCTGCCAGCTTCCTGGAGGTACGGCATCACTGATCCCAACCCATCAGCCTTTAGATGCCCCCTCATTAAAGTTTCAACACTAAAGACGTGTTTGACACTAATAATTGCTTTCTGAGCTCATTTTCAGTATACTTCAGCACTCTGTTGCATTTGATATTCAATCATAGCAATAGTGCCTGTTGATCGCATTACTGGCCGATAACATTAATTACAATAATTAAGTTGCTTCCTGTGTAACGATGCATTGTGAATGACCCACATGGAGCATATTGTTTTTGGGGTCTTGCAAAGCACAGATTGTGATGTTTAATTTGTTGCATCTAAATACAGAAATATTACTTTTTGTGAAATTTTGGTTCATTTGAAAGCAAACTGTAGACACCTTTTGAGATCAGATCACAGCATTATGAGTCTTCTATATAACAACTTGACTTTTTAATACAAGTCTGCATAAAACTAGACTCGCAGTCACAGGAAGTATTTCATGTCAATTATTGAACACAGCTAATCAATTACAATATGCACAGATTTGCATGATGTAGCAGCAGTGTAAAGATGCTCCAAGAGCCTCTTTCAGTTTACGTGTATTTTTAGAATGTTTTAGAAACATTTTTAGATCAGAACCCCATTCCAGAAATACTTTCCTTTGTCACAGTCAAATATTTACAGATTTTTAATATATTTAATATTTATTTAATATTGATAACATTTACTGGTTTTAAACTTTCAACACTAAACTGTTGTTGACTCATTATAGGCCCTTTATAGATTTACACTTTCTAAACGACATAAATCAGCAGTACTATTATACACTCCCACAAACTCTTGCACATGATGTCACCACTTGTGGGCAGGGCTTCGTCTCATGGTTCTCAGTGAGGGGTCTTTAAATATGCAGTTCAACACTGCATGAGAGGTTGTTTTTGACTGTTCTGTGAAGCTTGAAATGTTCTCTGTCACTGTCCCTGTTCCCATGGCACATTTTACTAAGCTGTTAGAGCTAATGGAGACAGTGCACTTCCATTCTTTCTCTCTCTCTCTCTGTCATTCAAAAATTATCGAGCGAGGTGAATGCCAGCGGTTCAGAATGGGAGGTCACTGCCATTGCCATGGCAACGAGCTTCCCTTAACCAGCTAATGTCTGTGTCATGCTAGCTAGGTCAGAAGAGAGGCGGTGCCTTGACGTGGCTTTTGTTTTTTCTCTGACAGGTCACTCCGGAGTCCCAGAACGACTTTGGCAGTTACAACTGTACAGCTACCAATGTCATTGGCACAGAGTCAAAGGAATTCATTTTGGTTCAAGCAGGTTTGTGACTTTTCAGAGAATGATGAACAAAGCTTTACATTTATGGTGAACATGTATCAATCACAAATTGTCTTTCATAGGTTCTAATTAGCTATTCACACATCCTTACTCACAAAAGGAAGTCTTAACACAGAAAAAACACAAATGCAAAAGGTATATCTCCCCCAGACAGAGATGTTTTAGCTTCAGATCAGAGCCTGCGCTCGTATTTTTTAGGCTGAGACTCTTGGGTAATAAAAACAGCAGGGTATAATTTTCAGGCTGCAGATTCGACGGTTAAATGCGACTCTGCCTCTGATATTTTTGGTGCTCTGTAAAGTGGGGCAGATGTGAAATGGTGTGGAAGGCAGTGAGGTGATTATTTAGTCTCAATGCGATGAGGCAGTGCAGAAGTGACGCCTCTTTTCTACCTCACAGGCTTTAGAGTCACCACAATTGGTTTTTATTGTGTGATAATTTCTTTCATTTCTTTAAAAATTATTTAATGACTTTAAATCCCCCCCCCAACAACCTTGAACAGAAGGTTTATTTTTTTGGTACTGTGTCTTTTAAGCCTTTTATAACAACATTTTTTGCATGGGAAATGAGAAAACGTGTGCTGTGGGTTTGCTGTTTGCCATCCAATACCATTTATAGATAACTCGTCCATTGAAATCAGCTTCTTTGCAAAGCCTTCATTACATTACGAAACGAATATGATATATGATAACGAAAGAATCCACACTGTAATGTGACTGAATAGTCTGAATAGTTAAGATCTTAATAAGGACTTAAATGATCAGAAAGCTGGTCACAAATAAATATCAGATTCATGTTTCTAACTTTGGGATCCCTCGGGAGGATAAGCAGAGCAGAAGATGTACTCAGGGCCAGCTAAAGGTTTGGCAAACTTCCCCACATTTAAAGGAGAATGTGCCTCTAGTGGCACCAAACAGAACTGCAGAATGTTTGGAGGAGTGTTTGAAACAATAATTTTTCCTATTGATGTGTCTGTCTGATGTCCGAAGGTTGGAGAAGGTTAGAACAAGCCATTTTTGTAGCTTTGTTAGTGTAGATTGTTTTTTTCCTGAAAGTTACAGTATGTTTTCATAGTACCCCAGGTGAAAAAGAAATATATTTAAATTGTGCTTTTTCAGACATACTTACTATATTTAAATTATACTATACTAAGTGCATATTAAATGTATTATTTTGAAACAATTTTAAGTATATTAAGTGTATTTCAAGATATGTTTAAGTTTGATTTTAATCTATTTGTAATATATTTAATATATTGAAATTGTGTTAAATTGGAACCACTTTAAGTATATTTAGTGCAATTTAAGTGTATTTCTTAAAATACATTTAAAATGTCCTTTTAATACTTCATGAACTACAGTTAGAGTATATTTGAAGCATTGTTTTAATGTATTTCAAGTACATTTCAATTGTATTTCAGCTCATTGGAAATGCATTAGCATTACACTACTAGTATATTATAAAGCTGCTTTTTTCAGTATATACACACACGTACACACTTTGATATCTAGAAAACTTTAATGTATTATATATTGTTGTGTACATTACAAATATTCATAAAGCACACTAAAAAAGGACAGCAGCATATATACTTAGGTGAAAAACAAAACATACTATTAAAT